TAGCATGTTTCTGGTCACCAAAATTCTAAATTAAACCTCAAATGCTTCTAATATTGAACACTGAAATAAATGAGAACTAGACATACATTTAAGAAAACGGAATAAAAACAAATGAGATAATTACCCAGTTATTCAAGTTCAGGGTCATGAGGGGCTGGAGCCTGATCTGGCAGCTCAGGGTACATGAAGAAGTTGACCATGGACAAAATGTCATGCCGTCACAGGAAGAACTCCAGGGCACATTGACACACACACACACACACACCCTCTCTCTCTCTCCACACCCTTCCTCCGACTAAAAGCATTTAGACACTCAAGTTCACCTAGTGGGTGCATCTTTGGGACGTGGGAGGAAACCAGAGTACCTGGGGAAAACCCATGCAGACATGGAGAATATGCAACTTCCACACAGGCAGTGGCCCCAGCCAGGAATTCACTTTTTTTCTGATCAATGTTATAACAAAAAGACACTGAATAAAATGATGGTATCTGAGAATCTTTTATAGCTGTTTTTTTTCATTCTGGAATGTTTTCCCTATTGGGGAGGGGTGCAGTTCTCAGTTCATCTTGCTACATCACACCCCTAACTTGCAGATTGATTGATGTCTCAACTCATTTCCTCATCATCTGGCAAGTTTTCAGGGGCCCCTCATGCAGGCCAGGCCTGAGATGGGCACTGGGTGTGGATGAGTTCAAGAAGGTGGCCCGTGGGAGGTGGGTGGGGAAGTATTTTTAAGGCAGTAAAAGTTACTACAGAAAATGTTGGAGGAAGAGAGCTAAGAAGGCTTTCTGGAAAAGGCAGTTACTGCCTAAGCTGAATCTCAGAGAGCCAGTAGGTGTTAGCTTGGAAGGAGGATGGAAAGAGGAAGCCCACGTAGAGAGAATAGTGTGTGGGAAGGCATGAGGACCAGGGAGGACCCAGCACAGCGGCAGTGCCCTGTGGGCTGTGGAGGTGTTGGACATGAGGCCCAAGGGGTCAGTGAGTTTGGGTCACCAGCCTCAGGTTCCCAACCTCACCTGCCAGCTGAGAAGCTTGGAAATAGTGCCATGCAGGTGTGGCCACGGTCGGGCAGGCCTGTACTGCTGTCTGACAGGCTGACATGTTACGGGTCCACCAGAGGCCAGAGGATAATCCTTTGAGCAAAGTCCCTCCTGCTTCTCCTGTCCTCTATTAGCATCTTACCAGGGCTTCCTTACAAATGTAAGATTTGTGCCGGGACCACCTGGAGAAAGTTGCCACCTTGTGGAAGGTTCTAGAATTACAGATCTAGAAATGACATCTTCATGCATCAATTCAGTACATATTTCCCAGTAATTGTGACCAAAGTGCTGGGATAAGGAGGTTGCCATTAGGAGTTGAAGGCAGAAAATGCATAGAGAAATAGCCAAGTGTTCAGAGGTGTGTGTGAGTCTGCCTGAAGCAATTGGGCTTCAGAGATGACACCTGGAATGGTCAGGTAAAGAGGTCTTTAGAGGCCACCCCCAATATTCTCACTTTACATAGGGGGCAACTAAAGTACAGGACAGGAAGAGATTTGCTCAAGGTCACACAGGTCTTCAGGGCAGGGCAGAGGTGAGGACCTAGGCTTCTGAGTGTCCCAGCCCAGAGCTCTTTCTCCAATATATGGTTGGCCTTCAGTTTAAATTGACCCCATTCCTGGTGCTCCAGACATGGCCTTTGCAGGCAGGATCTGATCTTCTGTCCCTGCCTGTATTCATGCCCCATAGCAGTAATGTGTCCCAGCCTCCTTTCTGGGGCAGTCAGTGATCTCTTCTCTAAGTTTCTGAATTCTGTCTGTGTGAAATCACCAGACACTAAAATTCCCCCCTATGGAGGACACTGCGCACTTGGCGTAAGATCCAGGGAAGGAGGAACAAGGTGTCTCCCCAGAGCATCTGTTCTTGAGGACTAGCATAGTTTACAGCGCATAGTGTGACATGAATCGATGAATGAGGAGAGAGGAGGAGGATGGGGCCTGGAGGTTCGGCCCAGCTCTCCTCTGGACGTATCCATAGATGAGTCTTATTTAGAATAGTCTGGAAACAAAACATCAAGCAAAATTGCAAAGGTCGCTGAATGCCCAAATGCCCAGCGAAGGCGTTTGGGTTTATTCTACTAGCAGAGGGGACCCAGCAGGCCTGTTTGTGAACAGGGAAGGAATCAGATAAAAATAGAGGTTGGTTTCATGGTTTCTTTCCTTTTCAGAGGCAGAAAAAGAGTCCCTGGTCAAGGGTCAGACCTACCCTAGAAAGCCATCAATATTACTTAATGAAGAAATTGCACTAGATCTTCCAGATATGAGTTCTTTTGTTTCTAAGTGTAATAATTAAACCACATCTCTATAGAATAAATAGAGGCTGTCCTGTGATGATCTCCCAGCTCTCAAGGAAACAAGCACAATCTTTGTGATTCATGGTTGAATTTCCTTCTGTGACATCACCCAAGCTCTGAATCCTACCGAATATAGGGATCAAATACATTAGCTCTTCCTAACTTGGGTCTAGAAAGGCTCAGCTCTTTCCTCACCTTCTGCCATGCACCATGGCGCAGACCCTGGAAAGAGGTCTTTACTGCAGAGCTACAGGGCTACGATCTGTTGAATGTTTTCATCAGTAACCTACAGGAACTCAAGGGGAGTATTCAAATGCCTCAAAGCCGGAAAAAGAAATGTATATGCATTGGACAGAAGAAGTCACATTCAAAAATGCTTGTGCAGGTTATCACGGTGGAAAAATCCTGGAGCTACAAGTCAAGATATATGTTTGGATTCAACATTAAAATGAGAAAGCCCCGGAAGGAGGGAAAATGAAACTGGCCATGCCCATTTCAAAAGGGGTCGTGTGTAGGGCGTGGCAGCCCCTCGGAAGGGCCCTTTCGTTATGGGAAGAATTATTCTGAACTTAAGCATTTTAAAACAAATGTGTTAGTTTTTTTCCACTTTAATGTGGCTGCCTTTCCAACCTCTCAGGGTGGCTGGTGACAATTCAGTAATGACTCTTCCTTAATGGTGTGAAGGGAAGAATTATAGGATTGTGAGGGAAATCACCAGAATCATTCAACAATTTAAAGTACCCATCTGAAGCCTGAGCAATGGAGCCAGGAAGCACACAGAAGATGGGCACCCCTGGAAGAGACAGCATCTCTGTGTGCCTCCAGGGAGAAGCTCTGTAATTCTTCGTCTTTGAATAATGTGGTGAAGATGCTCCCAGAGCTGCTTCTTTCAGTGGACGAGGGGCCTGGTTTCGGAGGAAATGCACTGACAGTGTTTCTTTGTTTAGGGAATTCAGTGGGAGAGCTAGGTGGTGCTGGATCTCCATATTTCCGTCTTTTCCGGTTTTCTTTCTTCATTTAACTTGAGAACAAGCACCTACAGGACCTCCCCTGTGTCCCAGACATCGTGCTGAATCAGATCTAGTGGTGGCTTCCAGGCCACTGTGACCTAGAGGGGGGAACTGGGACTTGAACACCATTAGCTGTGATGTGACTCTGTACGTAGCAACCTGATCAATTAGCATGGAGTAAGCACCCAGGGACAGCTAATGCCCACTGAGTGCTTCCTGTGTGTCAGGCACCCTCCTGTGCATTTCCGGGCATCACTTCATTTCAGCCTCATACATCTAGAAAGTAGATACTGCTTGTTTCTGGTCAAACTGAGGCTTGGAGAAGTTAGCAACGTAACTCACCCAAAGTTACGCAGCTGATAAGTACACACTCTGAACCACTGCACCAGACCGCTTCTCCATAAGTGAACAAGCAAGTACATGATGTAGGCAGGATGGAGGCCAAGACAAGAGAAAGAAGATTCCATCGCGGTGATCAGGAGACACTTCGTGGCAGATGCCATGCTGGAGGCAGGACTTGAGAACAGAACGACACTGGTAAGCAGAGGAGAGATGAGGAACCCCTGGGTTTGGCCTGGATTTGTCCATTGTGGTGCCTGGCCATGGTCTCCCTGACCCTGTCCTGCTCCACCATAGCTGATCAGATCAGGAGTGTTAAGAACTGACTTGTACCACCCCACCCTATGCCACTGCCCAGTTTATATGTTGAAGCCAGCACTCCCAATACCTTAGAATCCGACTGCATTGGAGATAGGGCCCTTAAAGAGGCAATGACATTACAGTGAGGACTTGTCCTTAAAATAAAGCCTTGGGCAATGTGACACTTACAAGTCTCCTGCATGCCATGCTATGTAAGCTAGGGTAACCCTAGCTGCTGTAACAAATAAGCCCCACACTTCACTGGCTTTTTACAAAAGATCTTTACTTCTTCTTCATGGACTAATCTGTGAAAGGACAGTCTGTGTAGAGGATGATTTTCCCTACATGGTGATCCAAGGACCCAGACTCTTTACATCTTGTGACCCTACTTCCTTAGAGCCTTAGAGTCCACCCAGTAGAATCAGAAGGTAGAATAGACACACTCCTTGACAGTCTTGACCCAGAAGTGGCACATATCCCTTCTGCTCACATTCCATGAGTGGGACCTAATCTGTGTATGCTCCTGAATGCCAGTGTGGCTGGGAAATAGAGGATCCCTGGCTGAGAAGACCCCTCCCAGGGATCTTACTTTATGGAAGGGGACAGGAACACTTTAGACAGCAGGCCCATTCTGCCATATGGGAGGTCAGTTCTGAAACTACCCTGTTTCCAAGAGAATCTGGGAGCCAGGGGTGCTAGTTTATTGCTATGAGCCAGAGTCCTAGTTTATTGCCTGTAATAATTTTTACAGCCAAAGGGGCCATACCTGCTGGGCAAAGCTCCCAGGAGGCCAGTGCCCAGATCAGGGGCTGAAAGGGCCACAAGAGCCTGGGGAGAGAAGTAGGAGAGCAGGTCCTGCTTTTGCAGCCTAAGAAGGGGAGGAAGAGAAGCAGCAGAGCCAGCAGTGTCTGGAACGAGGAAGACAGCTGCCTGCCTGCTTTCATTGCCCGGGTAAATATTTGACTCTATGTTTGCCTTTTCTCTGGGCTTTTGGGTACAAGAACTGGGAAGAACACCAGTTCATCAGCAGCAATCATCACCAGGAGCTGGAGGAGCCCAGAGCATAGTCCAGAGAAGCTTCCTGTGCTACCAAAGTACCCACCAGGGTGACAGGTTGGTGCTTCTCCACCAAGATGCTTCCTAAAAACACAAGGTGAGCTGTAAGTGGTGGGTCTGAGACAAGTCACGCTGGACAGCCAGTGTTTCTGTCTTTATTGTTGTGATTAGTGGAAACTTGAGAAAGGCATCAGCTAATCTGTCGGCAGGGTGGTTTGGAGGAAGGAACCATACATAGGTTACTGGGTCAGGGAATAGGTTTCTTTCCTCTTCAGTGCAGAGACACAGAGTGGAGTGGGTGGAGCCCAGATGTGTTGTTAGAAGACCTGGGTTAAAATTCTGACTCTGCAGTTTTAGGTAAATCTTAAAGCCTCAGTTTCCTCATCTATCAGTCAGGTGTAATAACCCCTGTCCTACCTAATCCACAGCTTACAGGATTAGAGATCTGTAAAGTCCTGCCCAGGCAGCAGGAATTAAGAACCCTTACTCCAACTGTTAAATGTTTAAGACACAAGAACTGAAAAGACTACCACAAAATATAACAAAAAATAGAACAACTGTCTTCTGATTAGAATAAAAACCATGTAGGACAAAAGAGAGAATAGGAGCCACGGCAACAAAGACAGGTATAATGAGAGCCACATAGAAAAGGAGACACTTGGAGCCCCACCATCCCCTCCTCCTCCCCCAGACAGCCTACCACTTCATCTGGATTTCATTTTTAGAAAAAAGTTTGCTTTCTTCCATGGAATTCTCAAAGCCCTGCACAAAGGACCTGGTGTACAAGTTCACTCTTAAATCTTTACAGGCTCCTGGCATTCTCCTGTCTCCCCTCTGAGAGTGCTCAGACAAGCTTCTTAATCTTTTGGTTCCTCAGTTTTCTCATCTGTGAAATGGGGTGATAATAGTACCCTTCTCAGAGGGCTGGTGTAAGGATGAAAAATAGCTAATGTACATCCTCTGAAACATTGCCTGGCACATAGTAGGCCCTCAAGGCGTGTTAGCTCTCCATCGATCCATTTAGGAAACATTGATGAACACCTACTGTTGCCAGAGGTTGGGCCAGGAGCTGGGCACCCAGAGTTGAGTGAGAAGGGTCACTTCCCTCAAAGAGATCCCCATTCAGTGGGGAACACAGACCTGTGAAAAGCCAGAGCCTGACAATAGACTGGCTGCTGTCCCAGTGGGCTGTGTCCCAAGCAGGCCATTGCCTCAATCCAGAAGTGACTAAGCTGAGGTCCATGGTCCTCTGAGCCTAAGGAGCCACACCCCTCAGCTGAAAAGCTGAGTGGACTCATGGCAGCTTATCCTGCTCAGGCCTCTTCCTAGCATGGCATCAGAAGAAGCTGGCAGCTGGGGAGGGCAGCTGGGCTATTATGGGCACAGTCACAGTGCTCTGGGCCACCCTTCCCACAGTACTAATGTATGAGACTGGGCACAGGGCCAAGTGTAGCAGCCCTACTACTGTGTTTCCCCAAAAATAAAACTTACCCCCAAAATAAGCCCTAGCAGGATTTCTATGCATTTGTTAAATATAAACCCTACCCCAATAATAAGACCTGGTGATGGGTGTGGCTATGCAGTGTATGTGCATAGCCACGGCATGCATTTTGGCACTGAGCAGTAAGGAAGACTGGAATACCTTTTATCTGCCACAGCTCCTTTCTCTGAGCCATTAGCTCTTGCATGGGGGTGCGTGCGGTAACCGTGGTCGCAGGCATCCTATTGCTCATGTGTGACTGCATGAAAGGAGTTCACACATCACTAGCGCCAGCCCCATCAACAAGGTCAGCTTCCCCTGTCAGGTTCCAGAAGAAGATGACTTAACTGTATTTGAATAAATGTAGATTGTTGTATTATACTTAATAAAGATAAGACATCCCCTGAAAATAAGCCCTAGTGTGTCTTCTTGAGAAAAATAAACATAAGACAGTGTCTTACTTTGGGGGAAACACAGTAGCTATTGGTTAACCAGATGAGGAACTGCCATCCACTCACAATCAAGGGCAGGCCCAAGGCCAGGGACACTTGAGGCCAGAAACTCCCGAGACCAGGGACCTCTGCTTGGCTGAGTGTGACTATGTTTGGCGTTGTGCTGAGTTGGGGGGATGGTAGGTTGTGAGGGACAACAGAGGTTGCTGCTTCTCGTCTGGAGAAAGGCTCCCTGGAGACCCTGGGGACAGAGGAGCAGACAGACGCAGAGTCTGAGGAGGTAGAAGCACACAGAGAGAGTCCCCTCGCAGCTCTGCAAAAGGGAACACTCCTCTCTTTTGTCAGGGCCATCACAAGCCGGGAAGGGCCGGGGAAGAAGCATTACTTTTTGGGTATGGAGGCCGGACACTTGACTCTCACTGTGTCTACTCTTCTCGGCACCCTGGAAGAGGGGCGTTGGATCTATTTTCAGGATGGGAAGAGTAAGGCCTAGAGAGGGGCACAGCTTACTCAAGGCCACACAGTTTCTACATCGCAGAGCTAGGTCTGGCTTTCAGGTCTGCCTGGCTCCAAAGCCCGTGCTTTGTCCGGTGGCCCTTGCTGGCTCAGTGAGACAGAAGGGTTGGCCTTGGAAGGCCAGTGTTCCCACCACTGAAAATGCCTAATGGGGCTTCACGGTGCCCCACGGGGTGGGGTGGGGGAGGGCCCAGAGGCATTCACACCCCAGATGGGTGGATTCCAGAGGCTTGAGTCTGTGGTTCCATGACCAGGAGTAGATGAGAGCGGACAGGATGTGTTGGTCAGCCACTGACAGGCCAAGTACACAGTGTGGGCTATGTCTTCCTCCCTCCTCCCCTCTCTCCCTTCCTCCTCTCATTCATTACACAAGTACTGACACTCGTTTATTATGTACCTTGCAAGTCTCAAGTCCAGAGGCCTGGGGGGAAGGGGGTTAGGGGGTGGATGGCTGAAGTTCAAAGTTAAGTAGAACATGTTTCTAGCTTTGGAAAAGCCCACAACCTAAAGGTAAGAGATTAGACATGAAAAATGCCCTTACTCCATAAAGCAGACTCGGTGAGGGCTGAGAGCACTGCAAGCTGAGCTCAGAGGTCCTGGGGGAGGCATGGGGGAGGAGGGGCTGGGAAGAGCGAGGAAGTGATAAGATCTGAGCTAAACTTTCCAAATGACCTCACTTGCTGTTTACACATCCGAACAGGTCGCCATGTGTAGGGTCCAGCAGTGCAAAGACACATACTTGCTGAATGTGTCATCAAGCCAGGGGCCTTCATGTGTGGATGGGACCCTGTCAATCATCTGATAGTCAAGTTTGTTTGTTCGTTTGTTTCCAAAGGTTGCAATATATTAGTGGGTTGTAAAATTAATTTAGTGGTATGACCAGCATTTTACAAAGTGGAATGGGACAGAATAAAAATTTATATCAAATTAGGAATATCAAGAGCATTATTTTGTGAAATTTCTTAAACACACGCATGCACACACACACATACACACGTTGAAGTGGATCATAGTGGATGATAACTGTGTCTTGTGTATAAATGTGATTTATAGTCAATGTGGTTCAATCTCATTTTACAAAGCAGGAAAAAAGAACTTACACAAGGCAGAGCGTAGGGACAAGGGGGTAGGGTTGGACACTGGCTTTCTCCCGTGTTCTTTCCTCTAAACTTGTCTTTCTTCTAAAGCATATTGTTCACTTCAGTCCTCCAAACTTGAACGTCCTCATTACTTTAGATCACACCCAGTGCCAGGGTGTGAAATATGTAATCAGTGGCTCCCTGAAAACAAGTATGCATATGTTTATTATAAATTATACTGATATAACAGATATAGTGCACATAACTTACAAATGATGAGATATACACTCTCTAAATTGCAAATTCCACGTGGCCAATTAATTATCACGGAAAGCTTTCATTGACTTTTTCTGAACTCGCATCTATAGCTACTCATGATTGCAATGGGTGAAGGAGCATGGCTTTGACATGAATGTTGGTTGACATTTAGATTGACAGTAATGAGTAAGAAAAATGTGGAGCAGCAGAATCAAAATGTAAGTCAGAACTTCACTCATTCATCAATTGATAGGAACTACTGATACTTTGCTAAGTGAGATAAAAGTTTTTTGAATTCTAAAAGAATATCTTCTCAATTCTTTTTGCTACTCACAATGTACTGGCTGCAAACGTATGTTTTTAAATCTGCGTTGATAGTGTTTCCTCCCTTATATAGACAATCTACAAAATGATACATTGAGCCCTGATTCATAGTATTTGCTGATTTCCATGGTGTAAACACTTCCAAGATGGCTGATGTCAAGTGTGCTGGGAGCCTCAGAAAGGCAAAGTCTCTGCAAGGAGAAGCTATAAGATTGCTACCACATATTTAAGACATGAGTTCCCACCAGCCCTGTCCTGTAGACAGTAAGGGCTGGAAAGGACAGAGAATGTGGTCTTGTCCTTCCCCCCAGATGAAAGCATCGTAGATGGAGAGCTGATACCTCTTACCTCCTGGGGAGCCACTTTGGAATCATCATGTCAGCTGAGTCATGGTCAACCCCTACAGCTTGGTGTTACCCTATGGTTGGTCTCAATACCATTTGTAAGGCCAGGTAGCTCCCAGGAGTCATCCCCACTTCTACCCTGCTATAAATCTCTCCTGCCCCTACAGCCCACAGTAGATCCTAAGTGACCTTGGCCATGGAGAGCAAAGTCTGAAGGCTGATATCCTGTGAAGTTAATGACACTTCAGTCTCAGGGCCCCTCACTCACACAGGACACTTAACAAAGCTCTAGGAGGGTGGGAGAGACCCTAATTAATTGTTCATGTGGTCATGTGTCTCCCATAAAATATGAACAAGTAAGATATTTTTATAGTTTTACTTAAAAAAGATGTTCAAGTTATATAGGCTTTGAGTCCCCACAGGACCAGAATCTGCCTCCAACCTGTCATGAAGAAATTAGAGAGTTATTTCCAGCTAGCAAGGAAGCTGGATAGATAATCCAGCTAGAGAAAGAAATATGGAAGAGAATTATCCACTTAGGGAAGACACACCACAGGTGAGCAGCCCTGGCTCTGAGAAAGTGAAGTTAAAAAAGACCCATTTGATCTTATAAGCCAAACTCCTGACAGACAAGTTCAAGGGTAAAGGATCATTGACTACAGCAGTGATTTTTAATGAGAATGTGATTTTTTGCCATTTTTCAGGACCAGGCAGCTCAATGGCACCTGTGCCAGCTCAGCGGACATGGAGCTCTTCCTCCATTATTCCCTCATCCCATCTGTAAGTAAAGGCTGGGAAGGGAAGGAAGAAGGGGAACTAGGCTGCTGCCACACATGGGCTCCCCAAAGAGACTGGAATAGGCCAGGGGAGGGACGTCAGATGAGTCTCCTTCTAAAACCTCTTACATTGTGCACCAAAAACACAGGCAGAAGGTGGCTTTGGAGGGCCCAAGAGTCAGGGATACTGGCTTTTAGGGGAGTCAAAAAGGCTTTTATATTAATTGAGAGAAACTCAATTAAATTTAAGTGGGGGAAGGGGAAAGGGGTTGGGTAAATTCCCACCCAACGTGTATGTTGCACGGGTACAGGGCACACTTCCTTCGTGAAGGACACAACTACAATTTGGACTTTAACTTTACAAAGCAGACTATACAACCTAATTGTATGTGCCCCCATATTAATCTGAAATAAATGTTTTTTAAAAGGGAAGAAAGGGCTTTTCTGAGGAAGTAATGATGCAGCTGAGGTCAGTTGGCAGATGTAGTTAAGAATTTCAGACAGAGGGTTAAAAGTGTATGCAAAGGCTCTGAAGGAGGGGAGAAGGGAGAATTTGAGGAGCCAAGAAGGGCAGTGTGAGAGGGGCAGAGAACTGAGGCAGAGAATTCTGGAGGGGGAAGGCCAGGCAGAGCCCTATGGGTCTCCATATTAAGGAGTTTCACCTTCATTTAAGTACAACAGGAAGTAGTGGATGTGTCTCCAGCATGAAGGTGATGCGATCAGTTTGTTTTTAAAAGATACCCTGGCCTTCCTCTTCTCTCCTTCTTTCTGGGCTATAACTGAGGAGGGGAAGGGGAGGGGAAGAGGAGGGGAAGGGGGTGCAGGGTAGAGGGAAGGTAATCAGTGGGACCTCACCTACAGCACATAGTGCAAGAGTACATGTAAAATATATTAAGAGTAGAGTATAAATGTCTAAACACAACAAGTAAATAAGCAAGGTGAAGGCTATGTTAACCAGTTTGATGTAAACATTCCAAATTGTGTATAAAGTCAGCACATTGCACCCCATAAATGCAGTAGTATACACAGTCATGATCTAATTTTTAAAAAGACTGAAATTAGACCCATTGGTCATTTATTCTCCTGGGCCCAGTGAGATACAAAAAGCCAAGTATGATCTTTTTGACAATGGTAAAAGTGCATAGAATAAACAGTTAACTTGACAACTAAAAAAAAAAAAAGGATACCCTGGTTAGAATGTGGAGATCAGGTTAGAGGTGGGTAAGAGAGGGGCAGAAAGACCAATTGAGAGACTGTTGTAGGGCTCCAGTGAGAGGTAATTTTAGCTCATCCTAGATCAGCAGTTCTCAACCTGTGAGTCGTGACCCACAGGAACTGTATTAAAGGGCTACAGCATTAGGAAGGTTGAGAATTGTCCTAGATGATGGTGGTCAACCCCAGGAGGTGGAAATGGCAGGACTTTGTAATGGGTTAGGGAGGTTAGGGAGAGACGTGGAGGATGACTCTTGGGTTTCTAACCTTGCACACCTGGAAGGATGATGGTAGCTGCCATTCCCTAGTTAAGGAAAATGAGAAGAGATCCAGGTCTGGGGCAATTAAGAAACAGGTCAGGGAACAAAATTGTGAGTTCCATTTAAGATGTTCTGAAGCTTTTGGTAAAAGCTTTAAGAAGTTTGTAACTCATTATATAGAAATGTCAACTGTGTGGTCAGATATACAGTTTTGGAGCTCATGGACAAAGCCTGGGCTCAGTGTCAAATTTGTCAATGTCCATCAGAAGAATAGATGGGCTCACTGAGGAAGAGAAGATCAGGTGAGAAGAGGAATGACCCCCAGACTGAGCTCCGAAGAACTCTCAATCTAAGGATTGAGTAAAGAATGATCCAGCAAAGAAGACTGAAAAGGAGAAAAGCATGGTTGACGGAGGCCCAGGGAAGAGAGTGCTTCAACTCAGTGGGCTGCTGAGAGATCAAGCTAGATTTGGGTTTAAAGTACACGTGGGATTGACTCACAAAATGGTCATTCCTGTCCTTGGCCAGGGCTGCTTCAATGGGATGATGGGGTAGAAGCCAGGTTAGGGTACTGAGGGGCCAGTGAGGTAAAATAGAGATAGCAAGTACAGATAGTTCTCAAGAAGTTTCTGGTGCTTGCTTCAGCAGCACATACACTACAATTAGAATAATACAGAGAAGATTAGCCTGGCCCCTGAGCAAGGATGACACACAAATTCCCAAAGTGTTCCATAGTTATTAAGAACATATGCACTAGAATGTTTATCACAGCTCAATTCACAATTGCCAAGATGTGCCTATCAGCACTTGAATAGATTAATAAACTGTGGTGTATATACACTGTGGAATACTATTCAGCCATAAAAGATGGAGACTTTACTTCTTTTGCATTAACCTGGATGGAAGTGGACAACATTCTACTTAGTAAAGTACCACAGGAATGGAAAAGCAAGTATCCAACGTACTCAATACTAACATGAAACCAGCAGACGAACAAACACAGGCCCACCCAGGAGAAAAGCACAATTAAACTCAAGTAGTGGGGAGCAGGGTGGAGGGGGTGGGGGACTGGTGTGCTCTCGTCTAACAGGCACAATTTAGGGGTATATGGCACACCTCCTGGGTAAGGGGCACAACTACAACTTGGGCTCTATTTGACAAACGCAGGTAACCTAGCCTCATTGCCTATA